TGGCGGAACGGAACAGGGGAGGATGGGGGTTGAAAGGGGGAAAAAATCGTCTCTAATCCGTTCCACTGTTTAATCCTTTTCCGCGCAGCCGAGGGAGAGACGGAGAAGAAGGCGGCGTCCCTTCCGGCGAGAATGAAACGGGAGAAAAAACATTGCGTTTCGAAAAGGAGGGAGGAGACGCTCGCCTCGCGGTTTTCAACCCCCGTGCGGGTACGCTTCCTTTCCCCCTGGCCGGCCGCGGGGAAACGATAATCCAGATAAGCCGCTAAATGCCAGCAATTTGAGCGGCGGGATCTCCAGAAACAATATTCCGTACTTGAAACCGACTAATGCCGGCTAACAGCCCGGGGAAGTTCCTTATACCGGGTGCTCGAACTAAATCGTCTCCAAGCGTAACCGCTCTCGAGGAGCAGCAACCGAGTATTCAGCCTTGAATACACGAGGATTATCGGCGTTCGTGGTGCCGCTTAATTGATTGCAAAAACAACGGAGGCCTGACCGAGCCATCGGCAGATCCGGGAGAACAAACGTTACGAACGTCGGTCTCGACGATTCCTCGTTCGAGTTTCGTCCGTCCGCCGTGCGGCCGTCGAAGATCAAAGGCTGCGCGCTCGAGGTCAATGGCGAAGTAAAAGCGAAGTTACGGAAAACTTTTTTCCAAACAAAAAGCGTATTAAGTAGAAGAGTACATCGCGCGTTGCGCGCGAAAGTAGCATAATCCGTATAGAAGTTTAGCAAGTGGCCGGAATTACGAGTGTATCGATTTTTCTAGTTCTAACCATAAGCTTGACGTTAAATATACAGGGTGTCCCAGGGTTTAATGTTCAAGCTTTGTCAGTATATTCTATGGCACGAAGTATGAAAAAAATGTTATGTAAACATGATGTAAAACTAACTTTATGTACCAACGGGTTTGTACCGCCCTCCTTGGTTAAAATTCATCATCAATAAAATCACGTTTAAATAAATGAAATTCCATTTGGAACTCCACGAAGTACACATACATATTATATTATATATTCTAGCTTCGCTTAAAAGGTAAAAGGCGCGCGCGCGATGTTCCAAACATTTTCAAATATTTTAAGTGACAAATTAGTAACGACAAAGTAGATATAATTAAATAAATAAACAGTCGATGACCGAAAGTATCGGCTTTAAAAATTCCAGAGATCGCCGGGATTTCCTTCGACGGAGAAGGCTATCGAGACGAACGCGGATGGAGGAGAAATAAAATACAGACAACGACAACGGGGGAATAACAAAAGAAGCGAGGAGCGGAATAAGGAAGAAAAACAGAGGAAGATGGAGTCGGAGTGAGAGGTAGGGAAAGAGAGAGAGAGAGAGAGAGAGAGAGAGAGAGGAGCCAGTGATGCGGAGTGAAAGTCCTCAAGTAAAAACCAGGCCAGGGCTCCGTATCTCGACGAGAACACACCAGGGCCATTATGCAATTACGGCGACGCATTTGCTGCCGTCTTTCCAACGGCGAGCCACGTCCTCGTTTCCCTTAGCAATTTACCTTCTAAATCGCTCAAAGTTTTCAAATTACCATAAACGTCGCCGGCGATACGTGGCCATCATTCTCGGAACAATTGGCGACAGTTTAATCAACGAGCTACCGTCGTCTTCGATATCATTGTCTTTGCAGTCATTGCACGCCTAATTACCTTCGCGTCGACGTTAACCTTTTAGGTACGGCTGAATTCTGCGCGAGGCTATTTCTCTGGACGGCAGAGTCTGATATGTACTGTACAGAGTCTGATACTGTATATACAGGGGGTGTCCCAAAAATGTCTCGCAATCCGAAAGTGGAGGGTTCCTCGGGCCATTTGAAGCAACTTTTTCCTTTACAAAAATGTTCTCCGAGGCACCGTTAACGAGTTATTAACGAAAAACAGTGACCAATGAGAGGCGAGCTCAGCTGGCGCGAGGCGATCGAGCCAAGGAGCGGAACTGGGCTTCGCGCGCTGGTTGGCCGGGCCGCCTCGCGTCAGCCGTACTCGATTCTTATTGGTCACTGTTTTTCGTTGATAACTCGTCAACGGTGCCTCGGAGAACATTTTTGTAAAGGAAGAAGTTGCTTCAAATGATCCGAGGAACCCGCCATTTCCGGATTGCGAGACATTTCTGGGACACCCTGTAGACTGTTGTAAATCGATGCGAAGACAAAGGAAGTGTGAAACAATGCGTTTGAAGACGATTATTTGATTCAAACGATGAACGAGTGAGCTACTAGAGCAAGCCACTATAGTGGCGCGTCGTCCAGAGAGATGACATCCGCGAAAGCCACTATAGTGGCGTGTCATTCTGAAAGATGACATACTATAGTGGCGCATCGTGCCTAAAAGGTTAAACCCTGGCCAATGGCGAACACCCATCTCCAAAAGTATTAGGATACCTGCTCGTTTAACCAATTAGCTGTTGCAATCGTTTTGAAAAGTGTGCCAATCGTCGCAATTACGTTGTAAACGTTTGATCATCCTCGTGTTTTCCTTAAACGCAACACTTTTATAAGACACATAATTAAATAACATCGAAGTAAAACGTCCTTCTTAACCAGCTAGCCGTTTTTAACGAGTTATACTCGTCACGAAGTAGCAATTAGTTTGCCCGTTTATTGCACTTTGTTAATCGAAAACGTATGCCGAGTTCATTTCGTACTCCTCGCTCGACACGACATGCTTCGGAAATTTTCTACTGGTTTCTCGGATTTATTTAATTTTCCTCGAGTGTCCTAATACGTTTGGAGAGAGAGAGTTGTACGTTCATTAAAAATTCGAAGGAAACGATAACTCGACCGCAATCAACGAGCCACCGCGGTCGTCGATTTTGCAGTCGTTGCACGCGTAATTGCCGTTATGTTAGCGTAAAACCTCGGTTTACGGAAAAATAAGTTCCGCGGATCTCGTTAATTTGAAACAATTGATAATCCATTTGATAAAAGTTGTCCGTAGAGAACACGACTAAACCGCGTCGGAAAGTGTTCTCATCGATCGACGGTTAATTTACTAGATAATTAGAAGCGAGTCGTGTTTCGTTTCGCGAACGGACGTGTTCGTTGAAATGTTCCTTTTCCGAGGGAAGAGGCACGTTGAACCGCAAATATGAAACGCGCCGCGATTCCTATCGACTATCGACCGTGTACTATGCACGTAACACCGTTGCGCATTCTATGTCAAACCAGGTAGATTATTCGCGCTTCTCTCGCCTCTAAGGTAAATAACGGCGCAGAAAACTCGGTCGCCTCGAGGATGGTCAAAATTCTTTTTAAATCATCCTCTTCGCTCGAAGCTGCTGAAACGCGCATCTACGCCCGTCCACAAGCATTCGCGCCTAACGCGATCGCGAGAAAATCTCGTCAAACTCTTTTAACGATCCTTACTAAAACCTCCCCTGGAAATATCAATTTTCAACCCGCGATATGCAACGTCGAGCTTCTCGCTTGCCTCGATAAAATGCGCGCTTACTCGCTTCTCTCCGTAAGATCGAATGTATTTAGGCATTTCACTGAAAACATCTGATTTTCTGTGAAACAATCTGAATTTTAACACTATGCCGTCNATGTATTTAGGCATTTCACTGAAAACATCTGATTTTCTGTGAAACAATCTGAATTTTAACACTATGCCGTCCGGTGGCATCACGCTGGTGCCGTGCAAAAACTATCCGTTGTATGCCGGTGGTACCGCTTTGGTGCCATTTTAAAAAACTGAAATAACATTTGAACTATATTTCTTGGGTGTTCAAAGGCAGCAAACTAACTATAGCATTGTGCTTATTTAACTAAGAATTACGTAAAAGAGAGAAGGAAATTATAGAATTATATATTATTATATATAATAATATTATATATTATTATATACTATTATTATATATTATTATAATAGAATTAAGTAATTCTATTACCGCCATCTTCGACATTTTTTTTTAAATCTAAAATTTCCAAGCTATTATGCCGGCGTTAAACAAAAGAATCGTATCTAAGATCTGCGGACGGCATAGTGTTAATAACATTAACCCCTCAACACCGGTTCTACCATGTAGGAATAAATAATACCTTGCGACTTTTTATCAATGTAATTGTATGGTAATAAATTTATGTTAATGTTATGAAATTATTGTCAGAATGTTAATGTTATCAAGGTTAAACGACGTTATATTTTTGCGTCGATGGGAAATGAAATTATCGATCCATATCCTGGATGCCGTCGTCGAGGGGTTAAAATAAAACACGCGGAACCGGCCATTTTGACGGGCTCGTTACATTTGCCGTCGAGTAATACAGTAATGTCTCTCCAATTGACGCTCAGATTGTCCACAAAAATGGTCAATCTTGGAAGAGGAGATGCGATTGTTCGAGCCTTGTGGCTCTTTTTCATAGTTGCTGAAAATAACTATAAAAACGAGCCGCTATTTTTGTGCACAATCTGAGCGTCAATTAGGGAGACATTACCGTAGACTCCTATAAAGTACTGCTTTTCGATAATTCGGTGCTCGAGGCTGGTGCTCGATAATTCGTTGATATTTCTCTAAGTGCTCGCTAATTATTTCTGACCGGATCAATTGCTGACGCGTTGCTTGTGTACGGGGACGATTGACCGAATTCTCGAAACGTGCCGGTCGCTCGAAAGCCTGTAAAGATTGTAACTCTGTTTCGCGAGGATGCATTTATTAACCGTTTGCACTCGAGACTGTTTTAACTGCAAAATGAAGACATTCGTTTCAATCTACAGTATTTCCATTCGGTATGATTGCTTTTATTCGACGCATACGAAATTGAACGTGTACGCTCATAGAAGACTTCTATTATTCGACGATTTATCGAATATACAGACAAATTTAATAACGTGAAAATTCTGTTGAAAATAGTACAGCAATTTTTAGCGTCGCCTCAGAATCGGCCCTCGAGTGCAAAGGGTTAAACGCATCGTTGACCGGCAATTTTACAACGAGAACGCGAGTTGACTCCGGCCATCGATGCGTTAACGTTTAAATTGACTTACAAAAGTGTGACAGGGAGCAGACGAACAAAAGCAGGACAAGTCCGGAAACGAGTCGCAGTGGCGTCGCATCCATTTTTCGGTTCCAGCTCCGGTTGGCCCGAGTCCTCTTCTCTTCCTCTTACCGTCGACGACGCGGAGGATGGCACATGTATACACACACGAACCACACGCGCGCACTTATGTCCGATCTGGAAATTCGAAAGGAACACTGTTTCAAGCTACGGCGTACCATGGGAGCCCCGGCTGTATCCCCCAACTTTTCGGCCCAGTCCCTTCCTCTTTCGATCGCCGGCGTCCTAGCTGTCGCGATCAGGGAATCGGCTCGCTTCTCTCTTTTTACAGCGATCGTATCGCGGTCTCCTTGAGAACGTTTCATCCGGGAAACGCGACAAGGTGAATTCCCCCACCAGGATTTCGTGAGCGTGGCTGCGTTGTATCGGGCCTTCCGGCCGTGAACGGGTTAAATTTAAAGCTCTACGGAGAAATCTGATCTCGAACCTTTCGGTCGATTCGTTTCTCGACGGTTGAATTCGCGATCTTTGGAAAACTGATTCGAACTCGTAGCTCGAGGATTCGATGGATACATTGAAAAAGCGAGGAAGTATGAAGTAAAGGTTTGTTTAGCGGGTGCAAGCAGTAGATAAAATTTGCGAAGCACGAGGCAAGCGAGATCGTAACGATTGGACTGCGGATCTTTGCGAAAGATGAAAATTGCCGAAGCCAATTGTACAGAGCAAAAATAAAGATCGCTTCGTTAAGCGATTTTGATAAGCCGAAAACGGTGCAATGCGCCGTTGTTGAATTCTCTCGATGTCTTCGGAATTTTATATTTCGTCCACTCGTTCCTATAAATCCGCAGTTTAACAACGACGAGAATAACGAGAGTTGCGAGAAATGCAGCTAATTATATTTCGCGGGAGAGATCGGTGCTAAACGGGCGACGCGAGGAAAGCGACAAAGAAAGAGAAAGAGAGAGAGAGAGAGAGAGAGAGAGAGAGAAAGTAGAACCAATATTTATCGGTAAATAAAATCTCGTGCACAAGCTGGAGAAACTAACCGAAGCGAATTGTGTTAACACTCGAATCGACCAAGGAACTCCCGAGGAAAGCCGTGTTTCGTCGGACGTGTTGACTATTGACCGAGACAGTCGAGACTGAACAGAAATTTACCGGCGACCGTTCGCGGTGTGGCACACCTTTCCCTGCAGCACGAAAAAACAATCCCTCGGTACAGGCCACGAGACCTTGGATTCTTGCCGAATGCGCTCGCACTTTCTATCCGCGCGCCGAACCTTATTGAACGTCGGCCTCGCGCCGACAGCGAACGATTTCGAACCAGCCGTCGAACACCGAGGGACCCTAAACGTGCTCGAAACTTGCCGGCAAACTCCTTTCAACGATTTCGAATGCGATAGTGAGCCGCGATAGAGCCGAGCAGCGAGCAGTCGGAGCGATGCTCTTTCCATCGCTCCTCAAAATTCTCGGTTTCGCCGGGACTCGAGGCAACCCTCGGAATCTTCGATGTCTGACCCGATTCGTTGGTTATCCCTTAGGACGATGGGACATCTGGCAATTTCCAAGAGTATTTATTAGACCGCAAAATAAAAATTGTCTGTACGGATTGGAAAATTCAGAAGCAGTTATTTATTTCTGTTCTTAATCATTTTTGCGAGTCGAGCATAAAAATTTCTATTACGTGATTATTCTTAGTATCATTTAAATTAATTACTTCTTTCTGCAATAAATTTTTAAATATAGATAAGTTATATTTTGTTCAATATTTATATTATGAATATTAATAAATCTATATTCTATTATTAATGATCTACTGCCACGGCATCTTTGAATTCTTTAAATGTTTTCATTGTTCTCACTTATTTTTGTCATTGATCCAAATCCGCAGTCTAGTAATTACAATCATTTTGATAATAATGTACATCGTATAGCCTTTTGCGCAGAGACGAGTCAGCGGTAACTGTACATAATACACGATGATCACGGTGTGCAGATAAAGAGAACATTATCTCGAAAAGAATCTCGCCTTACAACACCGTACCCGATTTGCGATCAAGATATGGAACAGAGTCTGCTAAATACGTATATTTATCTTATAAATTCGCATTTTCTTAACAACGCCTAGCCAGCAGAGCAAATGTACACACACACACATCAAATATAAATATTCACCCTTGTCTACGAAGCTGCTAACAACAAAGAAGTTCTAATCGGCATTACAGTAAAATAAATAATGTACTCTTTACATTTACTATCTCGTCTCAACGAAGAAAGTATAGGAAACTTTAATACTCAAGGTAAAAGTTCAAAGAAGCTATCCAAGTTTTATAAAACGAGCGAATCGTTGACTCCATTTTTTCCAACTCGATCTACCCTTTAACAAAGACGAGACAAGATACGATCTCTCGAACGAGTTTTCCGCTGCAACAGAATCCGAGGAACAAGGCGGCGATAAGTTCGCTCGACGATTTCAGATTGCGAAATCTCGGTGCGCGACATTATCGAGAACGGTAACGGAGAGCTAACCGTGGTTCGGAGCGGCGCGTGCGAACGCACAATAATTCTCGCAGGGAAAAATGGCGGCCCGCGAAAACCCGTTTGCAGCCGGTTCTTACGGAAACCGAGGAATCCGCGGGTTTCGGCGCCGACCCGCAGCGTTTTCGGTGACGAAACGCGGCTCTCGTCCGAGCAAATTACAGCGCGGCAAGACGATAATAAATCGACGCTGGCTAACGCGCGCCGCGAAAGTTTCACTTCGCTCGTGCACGCTCCGCGCGTATCATATGCAGGACCCGACCGGTCGGTGTAGAAAGCGAACAAACAATTAAAATGCGATCGGCGCGGCTGCGGCGAAGTTCATTCACGTGCCGCGTCCTTAATTGCCTCCTCTTTCAGCGAAGCCGATCGACGACGAGGAGAACCACGCGGACCGTTCGAAACCCGAAGATTCGACGTACCAGCGTGCACGATGGACGCTCGTGAATGGAGCTTCGTAGTTAAAACCGAGATAGACTTATTCGTTCACCGAGCTCAGGTTTTCCTGCCCTCTTTCAACAAACTGCCGATATTACTATTACGACTTATTACGACCGATATCGTTCAATTCGAGATTAATTCGTATAGCGCCATAATTGGATATTTTAACCGTTCGAGTCCCAAGCAGCGCGATCGCGCTGTTCGGATCTTGCGTCGCGATCAAACTTTAGCGACGCACATACATCGCACAGCTGCTTTTTCTAATTTTTTTTTCTTTTCGCTGCGTTTGTCAATCTCGACGAGCGCTATCGCGCCGCTAGGTTCTCTTCGCGATCAATTAAGACAAGCGCTATCACGCTGTGTTCGCCACTTTTCGACCGTGTTTTCCGAACAACCCCTGGGACTCAAACGGTTAATAACTGTCCCTAGAACTTGTAAGCTGCTGGAGAGCAAAATAAAAAATTCCTACACCAAACGCCGATATTCTAGTTTCAATTTCATCCGCGAAACGATCTTCCGAGATCTCGCGATCAAAACTTGGAGTCGTTGTTCCCGCTTCGAAATTGACGTTCCCCGGGAGATGATCGGTTCGTCGGCACGACGATTTCCGTGGAAAAGCACAGGGCGACGCGTGTCCACCGCGATCGTCCCGGTGAGAAAACAGAAACGAATCGACCCGAGCGCGCGCCATCTTCCGCGTACATCGAACATGGGGATGAAAACGCGAGCGACGCGTGACAGCGAGCAGCCGCGCGGAAAGTTCAATCCGTAGAAACCACTGGGGGTGCGAGGAGGTTTTATCGGCGTCGAATTAGTTGGCAATCGCGCGTTCATAACGACAACCGTCGACGGTTGCTCTAGATTTTCCGCGTCGTCGACCGCGGCAGTCACTTTCCACCAGCGATTCGCCCGGGGTGCATTTCCGACGGTCACGCGCAACCCTAACTCGAACTTCGACTCGACCTAGAGCCTCGGGGCCGGAGAGACGTCTCCTCTAATACTTCTAGTCGAAGCGACTTCCGACGCGGTCTTGCCTTGATTACCGATTAGTTACCTGGCGCCTGCACTCCCTTCACCCCTCATTCTGTATCCTCGGCTCGGCGATCATACCCCCAGCGATTCGAACCACACGAGGTCACAGGTTGCAGCGGCGTAGACACTCTCGCGAGGTCGCGGGAACTCTAGGGACCCGAGAGAGAATTCGCCGCGATTCGAAACGATTCGATGCGAGTCGACGGGTCGCGAGGGGGTCGGACGAGGGTTCGGACGCGGGGGTATACACGAGGAGGCGATCGCGAGAGCAGGTCGGAGGATCGGGCCAGAGGTCGGGGACAGAGGACCGGGACAGAGGCACGACGACGGAGGTGTACGGGAACGATCTGGGCGACGCAGGGTGCGAAACTGGCCTTGGGGCTGTTGGGTCACTTCGGGATTCGCTAACCTGTTCAGCTACGCTGGGCGCAGCGCGGCGCGGCTGAGAGAGCTGGGAGAGCCCGTGCTAAGCTCGCACGCTCGCACCACGGGTGCGTGGAGCGCGCGTTTTCGGACGTGGAAGGACTAACCGGGGGTTACGCACGCAGCGTACGAGCCTCCGGGACATGTATTGGCGGCCAGGCAAGCTCCACCTATCGCGTGACAGAGTGGGAGGGCTCAGGGACGACCTCGAGCTTGCGCCCTCGGCAGACGCTGCGCTCCAAGCACAACCCCTTCCTTGGCTTTTTCCCAACTTTCGAGCTTGCGGTGCACCCCCTCCCCTGCCCGCCCGACCTCCTCCTCTCGCCGTCGCTCTCCCGCTCTCCTGCTCTCTCTCGGCCCGGTCTCTCCTCTCGCTCCTCGCTCGCCCCGCAAACCCGCCGGAACCCACCACCCAACGTAGTCACCATTACCGACGCCGGTTCTGCGCCCAATCTCACCCCACCCTGGATACCTGAAGAGCTCTGCCGCCGCTAGCGATGGGACCAATACCCTCGCGACGACTTATCGATACCTGCGAGACATCCGCGATTGTTATCTCGCGGTATCCGATACGAGACTGACCCCGTGGAAAAGTTTCCCCGCAGCCTGACGAGTTCAAAGTTTCGATCCGCTGTGTTACCGCTGCCCGAACAGAACCGGCCGAAAATTTCGTCGACCACGACGGTCGTGGCATAGAGTCGTGTCGATCGCGATTCTCGGCGAGAAAGACGAGTTCGTTTACCTTTCGATAACCGTAACGTTTCGATCCGTTACTACCGCCTCGACGGAACTGGCCACTGGTTGGACAACGACGACGTTTTCTACCCTCGTCGTTCGTCGCGGCGAACGATTAACACTTTCGTCGAGGAGAACGAATTCGCTGGGATTCGAGGAACTGCTAAATTTCGATCTGCTGCTACTACTACCACTACTACTGTCACGGTTGACCAGAAATTCTACCTCGATCGTTGATCAAAAGTGACGATTAACCCATTTGATCGAGCTTAACGAGTTCGCTCGCCTTTCGGAAGCGACCATTTTCTTTGTAATTCCTGGAGCGAATCGGTCGGTGATTTCTACAGTGGCCGAGGTCTCCGCGACTAACCTTCGAACAACGAGTCTCGAGTTCATTTTTAACGAAACTTAGAAATGTTCTATCTGGACTGATCTCTTAATAGATAGCTCGAATCATTAGCCACTCGTATTAGATTCAATAAAAAGCTCTTGCGTTGATCTTAATATCAGGGCTCTGGTCTCGATACATCCCAAGCTCTAAACGCGACTAATATGTATATACTATAGTAATATGTACTATTCTATAACAATGGCAAGATCGGATCGATTTAAACTTCGTTCAATTTCTGTGATTTCTACTCTCTACTCTCAATAAGAAGCTCTTACGTTGATCTTAATATCAGGGCTCTGTTCTCGATACATCCCAAGCTCTAAACGCGACTAATATATATATACTATACTAATATGTACTATTCTATAACAATGGCAAGATCGGATCGATTCAAACTTTGTACAATTTCTATGATTTCTACGTATATGCTTGAGCAAAGAAGTTTATCCAAGTAAGAAGTTCGCGTGGAAACATTTTTATAATATCGAAAAACGTAGAAAAGAAAAAATCAGAATAGTCAGATCGATAGTTCTAGCGTTAAAGAGGTAAGCTCGAAGAGAGATGTAAAAGAATAACAGACGCGTAACAATTTGAGCGAATCTAGCCATGGCTGCCGCTAAGAACACCGAAAACGTCCACCGATACGAGGGTTAATTGCCCAAGGCTTTGGCGAACTTTAGAACGTTGTTTCAACCGTTTTATGGGCGGAGTCTGTAGACCGGTAGCCGAGGTCGCTGATTTTGAACTTTTAGCGAAATTTGGGGCGGCTTCGACCGAGGCCCACGCAGTCCGTAAAACACTGGCGATGGAAGACGTCGCGCCTACGTCGACGCGGAATTTTGGCCGCCTACGTTGCCGCTGATAGGTCACAGTTCAGAGAAAGGACGAATCGGGATAGATTAGAATGCGAGAGGAGTCGTGCCAAGTGGACGTGGATCCGAGAGAAACTGGTTCACCGGCGAATTCGTTGATACCGTGTACGATCGGCTGTTTCTCGTACATTTTAATCGTTAACTTTGCGTTTAAGACGTTCGTTGGTATATACAACGATACTCACACATATATACACACACATACACATGTCTACATAGGGACAATAAATACAGGTACAAGCCCGAGCTTCTCGGGGAAACGCGTATACATTAGGACTCGCATTTACCTGGAATTTACCTAAAGGAATAGTATAAAAAGGACTGCACGTTCCAGTGCGAGACACTTCCCAGAGAACTACAGAGGCGTTCATCAGCCTGGAAGACGATCAGTCAGACAGTATCTCCGCGACTTCGCATGCAGTTGCTCTTCTTCACATAAAGTACATTTTATATCCGCTAGGTGCTTTTTTAATCACTGTATTATATTTTTAAAATATTGTAGTATATAATATAAATATAATATTATATTATATATTATAATTATAATAAATATAACATTATATTATATATTATAATATAAATATAATATTATAGTATATATTATAAATATTATAGTATTATATTTTTATATTATAAAGAATTACAAATACCAACACAAAGAAATTCGATCTTCTCACTTTCGTGAAGCAGTACATGCCAGTTAATATTACTGCTTAGTAGGTTTTTTGATCACTGTATTATATTTGTATTGCATTATTAGCAAATAAACTATTACAAATTCCAACAACGTCGATAAGACGTATTAAATTTCCTTCATTAAAAGTATAATCGAAAGAACAGCAAAATGAAATATCTCTTATACGATAGAAATACGAAGTTAATCGTGCCCGAACACGAAACAAAGGCACAGCAATTCGTCGCCCCACGGTAACCTGTGCGGCTCATCGAGAGAGTTAGCTCGTATNCGCATTTACCTGGAATTTACCTAAAGGAATAGTATAAAAAGGACTGCACGTTCCAGTGCGAGACACTTCCCAGAGAACTACAGAGGCGTTCATCAGCCTGGAAGACGATCAGTCAGACAGTATCTCCGCGACTTCGCATGCAGTTGCTCTTCTTCACATAAAGTACATTTTATATCCGCTAGGTGCTTTTTTAATCACTGTATTATATTTTTAAAATATTGTAGTATATAATATAAATATAATATTATATTATATATTATAATTATAATAAATATAACATTATATTATATATTATAATATAAATATAATATTATAGTATATATTATAAATATTATAGTATTATATTTTTATATTATAAAGAATTACAAATACCAACACAAAGAAATTCGATCTTCTCACTTTCGTGAAGCAGTACATGCCAGTTAATATTACTGCTTAGTAGGTTTTTTGATCACTGTATTATATTTGTATTGCATTATTAGCAAATAAACTATTACAAATTCCAACAACGTCGATAAGACGTATTAAATTTCCTTCATTAAAAGTATAATCGAAAGAACAGCAAAATGAAATATCTCTTATACGATAGAAATACGAAGTTAATCGTGCCCGAACACGAAACAAAGGCACAGCAATTCGTCGCCCCACGGTAACCTGTGCGGCTCATCGAGAGAGTTAGCTCGTATATCACCGGTTCGAGGAGGCTCGTCGCATTCGATTGGACGAGTTCGGAAGTAGATCGAAAGTAGATCGGAAGTTATAGTCGGGCGTAGATCGAATTAATTTCGCAACAGTTTCGAGAATTCGACCCGTCGAGCCCGAAGGTGGCCCGAAGCGGGCCCGTGTTTCCAGGCCAGATGGAAGCTCGTTCCGCGAAATAAAGTTTCGAGAGTCAGCTCGCCGCTGAATGGAGGATCTTCCGAAGGGAAGATCGTCGCTTTCGCTAGTCAGACGTGGACGAATTTTGGACTAGGAGCGAGAACGGACCGCAAGCACGTCGAGGATTCCGGCCGGGGTAGCCGGAAGCGAGGTCAGGCCGGGCCGGAGGGGGGTGCGGAGGGGGATCCCTTTGCAGTCGGAACTGCAGCTCGTGCCTTCTTGTAATAAACCGCGGTCGGCGCTGCTTCCGACCGTTTCCAACCGTGTCGGTTCCTTAGTTCCTGCCGTTCCTCCCCCGATCCGTTGCCACCCCCGCGGTCCTCGCGCCCCGCGACCCCGGTGTCTTGTGTTCTTAGCCGGCTCCGTAGCCTTTAACGAATGTAATACGATTTCGTTGTCCCGGCAAAGAATTCGAAATCAGCTCAACGGCTTTATCCGTTTCCCCGGTCGCGTCGGTTTACGCGGTGAAGGGGCGCGCAGGTGCTGGTCAACAGGGGTGGAAATTACACGAAGGAAACAGAAACGAACGAGGAGGACGGATCGAAGATCGAGTGGAAAATTGTAATTGCGATCGGTTCGAGAGGGAAACGGTGTCTACCTCGTCCGGAGAAAAAGCTTCGCTGAAAAATGTTAACCGAAGCGCTACGCGTTCCAAAACGCCGCGAGTCCGCCGACCAGACGCTTCGAGAAAATCGATCTGCTTTCTTGATCGTCTGTATTTCGTTGTCAATTTTGTCGACCTTTTTCTTCTGTGAACATATTTTCGTATCGTTTTAAATTGTATTCGAAGAAATTTGAGTAAACGGGAAACGATTACGTCAGCCGGTACAAGCAAGTTGCATAAATAACATTTTTGAAAAGTTTGCTTTGCGTCTTAAAATGTAATCCTATATATTCCAAAATATTAAAAAGACGAGTGAAGTAAATTATTAATTAACTCCAAATTACCTTAACAATAGATATAGTCGGTGAACCATACACATGTTAATAGTTATACATATGTATAGTAACGCTACCTGTTTCTCGCAACGAGAAAAATGTTATTTACGCCACTGTGATTCCAACCGAAACGAGTGGCGTGTACTTTGTAAGAACGATACCATTGATTTTACCCAGACCCCGTGCTAATT